TAGCATCTGGAATTCTCAGGCTTTGAAATAGCTCTGAACCTTCAGCTAGTAGGTGAGGTGAAAAGCCCCTTTGGTGGTACAGGTGGTAAACAATATTGTCTGTCAGTTCTAACTATGTGCAAGGTGCTAGGCTATGTGCTAACAGCTTAGTAAAATATGTTTAGTTACATCAAAACTCACTCTACTGGAAGAAGACAGACCAACAGTGCATACTTTGACACAGTGACAGGTGTGATCTGAGCTGAACCTCAAGCATCAAGTGTCTCTAGGGTTGCTAGATCTATGGAAGACTAAGTTTACACGTAGAGAATAGTATGGATAGAAATTCAAATTTGGAGAATAGTACGGAGGAAAACACAAAGAGCCTGAAAATCTGAGAATGTATATGGTGACTCAGAAGTGGCATAGTTAGTAAAGTTGAGTTGAGTTGTGTAGTGGGCGAACAGGGTGTAACAGCATTCCAGATGGCTGAGCCAAGACCATGCATAGTCTAAATGCCTGTTTGGAAACAAACCAATATCCTTTAGAAAAAAAAAGTTGTGTAGAGGAATGATAGGATAAGATCTGCATTTAGGAAGAATAATGCAACATCAAGGGATAAAATAGAGTAGGGAGAAAGTACATGCTGGGAAGATATGCTATGATTTGTCATTTAGCTACATGGAAGAAATATTACACTTTGGTTAGCAATGTTTCTTACTGCAAAAAGCTGAGAAATGCAATAGCATATAAAATATTTTTAAAACAAAGCTGAAAATCTGGAGAAAGAATATTAATGGTAGCAGCGTTTAGTAAAGACTGGGGATGCAGTGATCTTCCATGACACTGTTAATAAAGAGTACTAGGGATAGGGTCAGAAAGAATGTAATTATCTGTAAGAGTCTTGTGAGCAGACAGCTCTACACCATCCAGGTCTTTTGAAGTCATGGACAATGTGATATCTTCTCTGGATGGCACGCTAGCAAGAAAACAGCTTCTAAGGAGATGGGTTCTGGGAACAAAATTTCTGTGATCAAATCTTAATTCTTGTGCCCAGTAATTATGCAATCTGGGAAGCAGGTTATATGAAATAGGTGTCAGTTTTTCTAATCTTCATGTGGAAATAATACTACCTACCTCATGGAAGTGAAGATGAAGAAGTCCAGACATACAAGGTCTCAGGGCCTGGCACAAAGTAAGCACTCAATAATTGTTAACTATTGTTATTATTGTGTGTATATATGGGTAGGAAATGCACATTTAACTGTGCTATGTTCAATAACCCTTGAAGGCATCAGTGTTATGTCTAAGGGATGTCAGTCAGTACAGTTTAGCTGCTCAAAAGGCATCTGCAATACTTCCCTGCATAGACAGCACTCCTTGATTATTATTTATATTAAGTATATTAAGCATTTTTTGAAAAGATGCAAACAAATATTTAAATATTCTTCTTGACACCTTTAAGTAAGTCAGTACAAGCAGGCTCTAGTAAACCATTTGCTAGTGTAAAAAACCCTTATACTCTCATCCAGAAGATCTGCCCTTCACAACTCTAAAACAGATATACTGGAGGGAAATATCTGTCAGCCAAACCAACTTCACTTCCCTGAATAACCAGAATGCAGAAATCTACCCCTCTCTTTTTGGCCTCATACAGTTCAGGAAAAAAAAAAAAAAAGATTATTTTGTAGGTGGAAGATTTTTCTTTCACTAGTAAGTAAATGTCAATTTCTTTAAAAGCCCCAACCAGCTCTTTTTCATTTACATTGGGAATGCTAGTTCCCAGAGAAAGGAACAGAGTAAAAGGTGGTTAGCTACTTCCAAGTGCAAAGGAAATTTTCTACCTGAAACCAAGCTGAATATAGCTTCCAATCACAGGCCTTGTTTTCTAATTTCTCCTTCTTTTTTCTTTTTTCTTTTTTTGTACTGGGGATCGAACTCGGGTCCTTGTGCTTGCGAGGCAGGCACCAGAACCACTGAGCTAAATCCCCAGCCCTACTAATTTCTCCTTCTAATCCTGATCTATTCTCCCAAATTCCCTCCTCTATTTTTTAAATGTCAAATTTAAGTTTAAAGAATGATGAAAGGGCTCTATATCATACTTTATTTATACTAGAAGGAAATAATATATGGATAACTTTATTACACATTAATTTAAAAAGATATCTTACATAAAGGTAAACTATAATTAAATGGTATATGAGACAATATGCCCATTACCATTTTCCTAAAATTCCCATGAACAGGTTAAGACAATATGTGCCTTATCTCTGGTTCATTTTCTTGATAACATTCTGAAATATTCTCCTAAAGAAGAATTGTCTATGTCATGAAGATCTGATCATCTGACTTGGACATGGAATGGTCTTAAATAAATTTACAAGTAAGAACAATCTTTTGAAAATGTTTCCTGGAAGGGTTTAAAATAAAGTTTTACCAGAGACTTGAGCTACTCAAGTATCTGGGTCCATTTGGTGAATTGATAATGCAGCTTTAAATATAAGTATTACCTTCTTTAGTCAATGAGACAGAAAGTGCATAAGTTTTCTTTAAATCTAATGAATTTAAAATTGAGAAACCACTTGAGAACTTAAAACGATGCTAAGGCAGGGGACTGGGCGGAGAAACAGACAAAGTTGCAAAATGTGCAACTGAGGTAGCTATATATATTTTTTTCTGTTGACGTGGAAAAAATATTCTAAATTTAAAAACATTCAGCACTTCACATTCATGGCCAGAATATTTTGAAATACACATTTATGAAAGCAATCTTATAAGTTCAGTGAATAGATTATTAAAAATAAATTAGCTTTTATAGAAGGAAGGAAAATATTCCACATTAACCTTTAGGATAACACAACATTATTGTTCTCCAAAATATAAAACTTCTACTTTCATTCATATCCATTATATAATCAAAATCCTTGTGTTCCCTACATACCTGAAAAATGAATCTGGAGAGCACTCACATAATAAAATAAAGGTTGGATTAAAAATAATTTTGAAAAAAAACTGCAGAATTCTATCAAAAAACACATTTTTTAGTAAATGACTGAATTTAGTCTCTTGACTTATAAGTCTAATTTGCTCTGGACCCATCAACTGAGAGGCAGTCTAGTATAAGGAAGAAACCCCCACAGATTTTTTAAATCAAATGATATAGCCTTAGAGATCAGGCTCTGCAACTTAGATGTGAGACCTCAGACCAGTTACTTATCCTTTGAGGCTCCATTTTCTTACCTACAAAATGAATATAATATCACAACTGTTGTCATGCAGAGTTGTTACAAGTACAAGCTAAGTTTTATATAATATCCACTATGATTCAACAGCCAAGAACTATATTGCAGTTATAATGCATAATAGAGTAAAATCATTAAGAATTAAACTTATACTCAATATTAACATACAAGTAAAATTCAGTCATAAAAGCCATCTAGTTGGATTTGGCATTACTCACTTGGTCACCTCAGAATTGAGAGATGGCAAGGAGACAATGTCACCATTTGTTTTAACATAAACATTTTTATTAGCGTATAGAAATTCTTCTCAGATATAGGAATTCCAGCAGCATGACAAAGTCCAGCATTTTTCACTGCCAGGAACTTAAACCATTAACATCAGTCCACGACAAATCTCTATTTATTGAACAAAGTAATATCTTCCATGTGAATATATCTATTCAATTTTGTAGTGGAGAAACAAGACAGTCTCTGGTTTTAACCAGAGGAGGAAAACCTCAACAACCTCTCATATTAATATATACAGAGATAGCTCTTCTAGAGTCAAGCATGCATCAGAGTATGGAGAAAACATCCAGCAAGCACAACTTTCCAACACTTAGCCAAACAAACCAACCAATACCCAAAGAGGAAACAGAAGCTATAAATTCAAATAAACGGGCTGCATGGAGACTACACAAACCTGCTGTTGCTTTAATTGCAGACAATTCAATTCAGCAGCTGCTCGTCCAGGCACTAAGGATCACTGTATGCTCTTCAACGTAACCTTGAAATATTGTCACTCACTCACTTCTCCACATCATCTGCATGCTGTCCAATTAATGAGGAGTGAAATCAACTGTCAAACCACGCATCAAAACAAAACATGATCTTTTAGCTCTTAAGCACAGGAGCACAATATTTTAAGGATAATAAAGCAAGAATGGTGATGAAAGTCCTTGACAATAAATGGTATTTAAACTTATCCAAACATGTGGTTAAATGAACTGTCTGTACTGTTCAGCAAGAAAGTGAAACTTTCTTAGGGTTTTCATTCAGAAGAGTCCTTCCTGTCTAACTGCTGTGCATGAAGCCCTTAAAACACTATCCACAAATATCTGATCAGACCCCTCAAGTTTTTCATAAAGCATACGGGAATACTTAAGGAACACTCTTGATCCAGTGATATTTTACAGTACAGATGGTATACAGCTAGCACTTTTAGCCTTGCTGTTTCCAGCACTTCTTTTCTACCCAGAGAATAAACAAATAATAATATATAATGTTCAACCTGAGTCCGATAATAAAATGAAAATAATGTACCAAACAGATGTGTTCTGGAATGCTTCCTATTTGAAGTTTCCTCACTCTTAACTATATGCCAAATCTATAAACCAATTAACAAATACAGGAGTTAAAAAAAACTCTAGAGAAACAAAACATACTAAGTACTTAGAAATTGCATTTTGCTTCTAAAGCACTGTGTTTTCTGTGCAAACACTCTGTGCTATATCACACACTACCAGTTGCAGATATAGACTTGAGAAATTCATTACAAGAATACAGCAGAGAAGCGTGCACAATTAAGGGATCAGGACTTCCAATTTAACAGAAAATCCAGATTTTACACAGCAATCTGCCACTAACATAGCTGGGGCAGGCATGTTGTATGCAGCTATTTTGTTTAGCTCATTAGAATCCTATATGTCCTTCAGTACAGTTGAACTGGAGGCAAAATAAGAGAAAGAAATGTACTTTGAAACAAAAGGAAATTTTCAGATAAAATAAAAGATACTATACCTGTATATTGTACCAGGAACATTGTGACACTCTTCAGGGAACTGTTTCACGCTGTATTGTACCGTGAGTTATTCTCTCCTTACCCTTTTCTCTCCACAAAAAGAAAAGCCAAAGAACAGTAAGCCCCCACTATACATTATCCCTAACCCGCCCCCTCATAGAGGAAAAGAAAAAAAAAACAGCCACAATTCAGCTCAGATCCGATGCTTCTGTTTAGCTCAGCTCCAGCCGAGCAACTGAGCTCTAGCAACGGAGTACAGGGAGGTGGATTCTGATGCCAGTAGCACTTCCATCCACTTCACTTACACAAAAGCAGGCAGTGGAAAATCCAGGAGCCTTGAAGACAAGGGCTGGAACTGGCTTTTATGAATTGCTATTACTGCATGTGTCACCATCCATCTCCAATGACAGACACTTATAGGCTGAATTGGGAGTGCAGGGGTGGGGGGGTGGAGGAGGTTGGAGAGCAGGTGGAGAAGCAATTAGCAGTATGTTCATCGGAGAATTCGTTCAGGATTTCATACATCAGTGCCTAAAGAAACAGCATGCAGTTGACAAATCAGAACTTTACGATTTGCATGCCTTAGAACAAATCTTAGCTCGCATCTCCAAACAAAATAATGCTTGCCCACTCTTAAAGGACATAGAAAGGCACCCTTCTACTTTCTCTTTCCTCCAGCTACTCTTGTTCCTGAGAAATCAACACGCAGAATGAATATTTGCTAATTTTCCCTAAGGAATTGTATTTAAAAGGCTGGAAGCAGAGGAAGTATAAAGAAATTAAATTCTATTGAACATGACATCTCTTAACAAAATGGCAAGAAGCTAATTATTTTAAGCCAACTTTTGATCCTTAGTCCCACTCCCCAGGTGCAGCTTTCACACTTATAATCAGTGGATCACACAACTTCTGTACATACATTTAACACTGAAAAAAATTACATCTAGCTAAAAATAGTTGAGTTAAAGTCAATATGAAAAGCCAAGAGTTGTGTGTAGGACTCACTGCAGGGGACCTTAAAAAGTCACTGTCTGTAAGTGCTTCAGTTTTACTCATCTGCTCGATTAAGGCACATTTTAAAATTAATTATGAGTAGGAACAAAAAGGAGATGGTCTTTTAGGGAGGGAAAATGATACAAATGAACGAGCACTGGGGGTAGGTGTCAGGAAACCTGGGTTCGGATTCAGTTCTATAACTTCCTAGCTATATAATTCTGTATGAGACACTACTTCCTTCAGCCTAAGTTTGCTTATTTCTAAAGTGGAAATAATAAGACCTATCCTGACTGCTTCACAAGATTGTTGCAAAGAGCTAATTAAATAATGGATGTGATAACCCTTTCATAAATTATCAAAGGATATAAAATTGTATGGGATCATTATTACTACAGCCCGAAACAAGTCTTCCTTATATTACTGAAGTGAGGCACTTCACTCACATAAGACAAATTACAAAAATAAAGGACCAAAATAATTTCTTTAAATTTTAAAATTCAAAAGAAGCACTATTTGTTTTTAAAATTCCACGGGGAGGAAAGACGTTTTGAAAGGAAGACAATTTTAAATTTGACACATAATATTATCAGAAGTTTATTAAAAAGACTAATTCCTTCTTTCATTTCTGAAAATTGGGTCCATTTTCCTTCAAACAGTCTGTTATATGATATATCTAGAATGCAAGCTATTGAACAATGAACATATCTTTTGTTACATCTTTCTATTTACCTGGTACAGCCCCTCTGATCAGGACATGGGGAATGATTTGAGTTGAATGGCTAAATCTAAATGCACAAGGGAAAAATTCAAAGTCATGCTTTATGAGACTCCATGCTGCCTTGATACTATATATACAGTGACCTGACCAGCTGGCTTAGGCTGGGACACAATTTCAGCACATGAAGTCCTGGGGTGGCCACACCTGGGGCACTAACTGATCCAGGCAATGTTTGGGGACCTTTGCTTCAGCCAAATCCCACATGGCCTGATTTCCATCTGTATGGTGGTTACTACCCAAGTGTATGTCTCTCCCAATGTGTCAAATCTAAAGCAGCCAAAATTAAAAGTGGGGGCCATAGCAGAAATATCAGATGTCAGCTTGTCTCAGTCCCTGCCAATGGTATCTGTGTCCACACACAAGTGCTTAGCCCAATTCTCATGAGAAGAAGACTTTTTCTAATGGCCCCCTTTGAATGCCATTATCACTACTGAAAATGCCAGTAAAATATTCATATAATAAAATCTATATTAATTCAATGGAAAATGAATCATGTGAGCCACAAAGGTTTAGATGACTAGTAGCTAAAAACAAAAGAACCATTAAAAGGGGGAAGTGAAGGAAGGGCTGGGACAGGGAACAGCAAGGCTAGGAGAAGAAGGCCAAGGGAGGAAAGAAATTAATCTATGGTAATAGCTTTTTTTCTAATCAAAAATGTACTTGCTGTGTTCATCCCAAATCTCACCCAGAGTGCTTGTTTCTTGAGGCAATGAGAATGGCCTTTTTACTACCATAGCTACAATCCTAGCCTTCTATCCACTCATGTAAACAGATAAGAAATTGAAAAGGTACTGGTTGCCCTGACATCAGAACTTACTTTCCTGTAGCATGTGAAAAACGAAGCGAGTAGGACAAGTTCTCCAGAGGCCTCAGCCCTGCAACCTCCACTGCAGACTCACCTGTAGCATGGCCAGCCACTAAAAAATGTGGCAACCCAATTTCAGGTTCTGCAAACATTAAAAACTACAGTGGTAAAAAGAAAGAAAGGATGTATTTCAGAATCCAGCTGTTACACTTTGGGCATTGCAAATAACTTCTAAAAAATGTAAGCTTGAAATTCATATTTCCCAAATTTCTAACAAGAGCCACTAAAAGGAAAGGCAAAAGGACAGGGATAATGAGTTTTTGTTTTTGTTTTTGTTTTTTGAGACAGGGTCTCACTATGTAGTTGAGACTGAACTGGAACTCACTATGTAGCCCAGGCTGGTCTCGAACTCACAGTGATCCTCCTGCCTCAGCCTCCCGAGTGCTGGGATTACAGGCATGCACCATCACACCTAGCTAATGGGATGACGAGTTTTTATCAGCTTCTTTCCCACAGTTAAAATATAAGGATCATATCACTAACATGACAGACAGATTATCCCAAAAGGCAATGAGGTGGGAGGCAGCAGCTTCAACCCAGATTAGCAGGAACAAAAATGAAAGCATCAGAGCATCCTGATAAAAAAAAGCATACAAACATACCCACCAAAAACCATTGCAGTGTTTCCATTACCCTGATTTCCAGCTCCAGAATATAAGCACAAATGGTTTGTTAAACTATCAGAGTTCCTCCTCAGCAGCCATCAACAAGCCTGACTGATCTTTTCAAATGAATTCCCATCGTTAGCCACCTTGGATGCTGAGTATTTTTGTCAAAAACAAAAATCCCAGTGGAAGATTTCAAAGAACCAAGAACTTGAACCAGACTATGAACCTAAATGAGGAAAACAACACTAATTTGCTAAACCCCAAACAAAATAGAAATGTTAAAAGTTTGAAAGCAACAAAAACTACTGAATTGATTTGAACCAGAACAAAAATTTGCTTTCTGAATCAATCAAACTTGCACCAAACCCTGAGAGTACAAACAGTTCAAATTCCTGCAAAGAGCATATCGCAAGGCTTGTTTTCACCTGCTTGACAGCCCACGAAGGAACTAAAGAATGAACACTATATAAATAGTCAAGAGAATTAAGTTCCACTATTTTTTTCCACCATTTGTCATTGGTTAAGTAATTTATAAGCCAGAAATGGTGGCACATGCCTGCAATCCCAGCACGTGGACAGATGAGACAAGAGGATTGAGGGTTTGAGGCCAGCCTGGAATACATAATAAATTTGAGGCTAACCTGGACTACATAGCAAGAATTGGTCTTAAAAAATATATCAACTTCTACTCTCTTACCCCAGCTTGCTTGCTTCAAAATGCTGGGACTGGAGTTGTCAATATCCCAAATCTAATACTCAAAGTCAACTTTAAATTTTAGTCGGTGATGAAATAGGTGATGTCTGGCCATAATCTCTAGAAAGGAGAGAGATGGACTACTCAAAGCCTCCTAAAGATTCATGCTTCCAGCTTATTTTGAAATATGCTTCACATGAAGTTTGTAAGTGTTCTTGTTCAGCTTTTGGAATAATCAATCTAATAATTCTGTCTCAGAATTTCTCTCCTCCCAAAAAAACTGCTTCTGGAACAGTTGCTTTCCTCAAGAGAAAGCTACAGGTAGTCTGGTCCCCCCAAAAAGGAAGGAGAGGAAACAGTGATCCAGACTATGCTGAGCAGCTACTACATGCCAGAGGTGCTATATTTTACATAATTGTCTTAACCACTCCTCATAGTATAGCTACATTCTAGGTATTTTATCAGTAAAAAAACTGAAGCTTACTCGTGTTAAATGACTGCTTATACTTCACTGGTAAGTGACAGGCCTGGGACTTGAACTCAAGCAATCTGAGTTTATTACTATACCAACATTCTTATTATTAAAGGTATACTTCCTTCTCAATTCAGTGATCTGGTTGGAATTGCTTAAGGAATAAATTGCATGTTGAATTCATATGGTGAAAGCAGACTTCCTTGCATTTATACTTGGCTGTTTTCATTAACGTCATCTCATAGTACGGTGTAATCGTTAGGACCACTGGTCTCTGGAAGCAGTCTTGAGTTTCTTGAATTCTGACTTATGGACAAAACCATTCTGTGTCTCAAGTTTTTTACCTGGCAAGTGCAGAAAGAAGTAGTACCTACATCATCAGGTTGTTGAAAAGTGTCAGTGATGTGATATCATCTAGCACAATTCTTGGCACAAAATGACTGCTCAGTAAATGCAGATTTCAACTATGTATGTGTAAGCAAAAAAAAAAAAAAAGGAAAGGTTACTTTTAAAAAGGAGGAGTGAAGGGAGGGCAGGGACAAGGGGAAAAAATGAGAACCAAGACCTGTCATGTAAAGGTACAAGATCCCAATAATGAATGTAACTGTACTATATACCTAAAATGTACCAATAAACTCAATAAAAGAAAAAAAAAAGCAACTAAGATTCACTGAAAGTGCTCATTGGATATTCTGAGAAAGGGATTTTTCAGTGGCCTACCCACACCCTCCAAAATGAAGCTACAACTTGTGGTAGATTAGCATATTCATGAAAAAAGTGAATGCAGCATATTAATTGATGGTGACTAAGTAGTGACAAGGAAAGGTGGGCCCTGGGTTCCGCTGAGCAGCAACTGTCCCTAGTTTCTGAGAACCTATCCTTCTAAAGAGAGAGCCGGGAAGGAGACAGTACTGCTGGAAGTACCCAGTGGGCTAAGGCATCCCTCTTCCCCCTGTGCTTCAAGTCCT